TTGAAATCAACCTAATTTATTTTTGTGGCTAGAACAAACTGAGTTTACTTTTAAATTTACCTCAAATATTTTTGTTTTGGCGATAGTTTTTTCTGCGTGCAGAACTACGAATATGCTGAATTTTGCGTGTACGTAATATCAAATTATTGGAACCGCTTGCCAGAAATTGACGGGCTGGTTGAAAATGGCCTACTAATTAGTACATTTATAATTTGAAATTTCCGAAGTGTTATACTTTCAAAATTTTCAACCATTGGCCTATTGTGCCACCACTGTACACTGGTATACGTGGTGTGTATAAGGATGTAAAAAAGGAAACTCCCACATCACTGCATTTCCTCAATCGGAAGGTGAATGTATTTTATCAAGGGATCAAAAACGTGTGCTTTCTATGTAAATGGAGAACACCTGATGAAGTCCTACCGGCGGACCAGACGTGTTGTCTAGATCTCAGCAATGATATCAGTCAAGTCCAATTTTGTTCATCATTATGAATTTTAGCTTAGAAAGAATGAGAAATAAACAAAATACAGCTTGAAACTTGATCATTGAACATAGATCCAGAGTTATTTATCCAGCAATATTAGAATGGTTGAGCAGGCCTACCACAGCGGAAACCTTGGAAGCAGCCAGAGAAGCAACAACCGGACGAAGAAAGAAAGCAGAACCAGCGTTGCCAGTATTCCAGGTTTATCTGGATTTTCCAGATTTTTAGTCGTCTTGCCAGATACACAGACAGACCACGTATGTTTCCAGATTTTTTAAATATGTTCCAGATCTTCCCAGATTTTTTAAACGTGTTGTTTAAAAATATCACTGTATTGATTTACTCTCTAGTAAAAAATAAAAATCCAAACTTGCTACTTTTATTATTAAAGGCCACCAACGTTGGACATTATTGTAATTTTAAGGTAATTCTGAAAATAGTTCACAGTGAAGTGTGAGGTGAATCCTTGGGAAAACAAAGGAGAACTTCAAGCCAATTCTGAGTAGAGTTCCATCCATCTTTGTGGGCGTCGCCCGAACGTGCCGCGTCATCCGTCGTTCAGGCGTACTGTGAGTGCCACGAAGTGAGGGTTTCATTCCCGCTCCAGCCGGTGCAAATATTGGCAACCTTAAAATTTCCGTACTGGTCTACTGGGTGTGATGTGTTGTCCGTTGTCTAGTGTTACATTTTCAGTCTGTGCAATCTATGGTTGAAGACGATGTCAATTGTCTTGTCAACTCTGATGACAATTGCTTGGAGATTTTGTTCATGTAGGAAACACAATCCGGAAGAGAAATCATAGAAAAAAAATATGATGAAACTTAAGGAGTATGCGAATCGTGAGAATAATTTCAATGGAATTCTGTCTAATATTTCTATAGAGATTCATTTTTATAAAATTTTAAGATATTTTAACGGAATTGTGCGCTATTTCTGGGAGACTTCAAGGCTATTTTGGCAAAGTAATTGAGTACTTAGGAAATGCTGAAGAGGATTTCAAAATTATTCTGAGCTTACCTAAAAAGCAGTTCAAAGGTAATTATCGGATAAGTCTGAGAAGAGATGACAGTCATTCTGAAGAGTGCACCAAGGAAATTATTAAGAATATTTTTAGAATTTAATAGGGAAAAATTGGCACAAAATTATGCCAATTCTTGGGAATTATTACCATTTTGAGGGAAGTGTGGAATTGGAGAGTAATTTACAAGAGATTAAAGGGTGATACGGTCAAAATTTGGTCAATATCAACTTGACGTATTTCTTTCAATTTTGCATTTAAAAAACCTGATCACCCCTCATTTTGAAGGTGTGTGTGTGTAGAATGTTGCTCCTATTTTGATTTTGGAATTCACTCTTCAGTTGTCAAAATGCCGTCCAAGCAAGAAGAGCAGCTTATCAAAATTTTGCTCGCGCATCGCGAAAATCCGAGCTACTCGCACGCAAAGTTGGCAAAATCGCTAAAAGTTGCCAAATCAACCGTTACAAATGTAATTAAAGTGTTTGGGGAACGTTTGTCGACAGCCAGGAAGTCTGGATCGGGGGGAAATCGAAAACCGGAAGCCGCTGAGACGACAAAGAGAGTTGCCGGTAGTTTCAAGCGAAACCCTAACCTCTCTCTCCGAGATGCCGCAAATAAGCTGGGTGTATCGTCTACAACCGTGCATCGAGCCAAAAAACGAGCCGGACTATCGACTTACAAGAAGGTAGTGACTCCAAATCGCGATGATAAACAAAATACGATGGCCAAAGCGCGATCCCGGAGGCTGTACACGACGATGCTGACGAAGTTTGACTGCGTGGTAATGGACGACGAAACCTACGTCAAAGCCGACTACAAGCAGCTTCCGGGACAGGAGTTTTATACGGCAAAAGGAAGGGGAAAGGTAGCAGATGTTTTCAAGCACATGAAACTGTCAAAGTTCGCAAAGAAATATCTGGTTTGGCAAGCCATCTGTACCTGTGGCTTGAAAAGCAGCATTTTCATAGCTTCCGGGACTGTCAACCAAGAAATTTACGTGAAAGAGTGTTTGAATAAACGTCTGCTGCCTTTCCTGAAGAAACACGGTTGTTCCGTACTGTTTTGGCCGGATTTGGCATCTTGCCATTACGGTAAAAAGGCCATGGAGTGGTACGCCGCCAACAACGTGCAGGTGGTTCCCAAGGACAAGAACCCTCCCAACACGCCAGAGCTCCGCCCAATTGAGAAATACTGGGCTATTGTAAAGCGGAACCTAAAGAAGACCAAAAAAACTGCTAAGGGCGAGCAGCAGTTCAAGGCAAACTGGCTTTCTGCGGTGAAGAAGGTGGACAAGGTGGCTGTACAAAATCTGATGGCAGGGGTCAAGCGTAGGGCCCGGCAATTCGGATTTGGAAAAGCGGAAGCCTAACTGAATATTTTTCCTGAATTTTATACTAATTGAACTTGAAAAAGAAATTTAATTTGATTTTTTAAATAAACGATTTCAACGATTTACACGCGTTTTCCCTTGACCAAATTTTGACCGTATCACCCTTTACAAGAGGTAATGCTATGAACTCTTAGAATGTTACTGGAAAAGTTTGGATATTATCAAGATTAGTTTAGAGGAATTCAGAAAATAAGTATGATGAAATTCTAGGATCATTCCAATGGAACTCGAAAAAAGGGCGAAGATATCCTGTGAAGAGTTCCATGAAAATTCAGACAAACAAAAATTTTCATGATCTGGGACCCAAGAAAAATAGAAATTCCGGAATTTATAATCATTTCAAGATCCTGAGACTTCAAAAATGTCGCTATCAGACTTTCATTTTAGGCATAAAATTATTCGTTATGGTCATGCGAATAGTGGAGTAACCCGTAGTTTAGGTAAACTTTGTGTGAGTTCCACGATGTTAGGCTTTGGTTCCCAATTCAGCCAGGTGAATTTTGCTTCAAAAAAAAATTGCCTACTGGTCTATTGGGTGGTGTGTGTTGTATGATATCAAGAATTAAATTGTAAATCTGATTATCCTCAGGGTAATATTAGAATTATTTAGAACTAATAAAATCTTTATATTCTGGTACTGCATCAAATAGTAAGGATTACATCGACTATTAGTTAAAAGAAATCCATCCCATCAAATTTGCTTAGTTCTTTGCTATTTTCTGCAGTATTTTACCCACATTTAATTCAATTTTTGAACTGCTGCGAATTTAAACTTTTTGGGCACACTGTGTCAATACTTTTCAACTATTGGATGATTTAGCAAGTTATTTGTTTTATATAATTTATTCAAACATGTAATTCATAACCATTCTAGTCGTGTATACTTTGGAACTCTGGTTCAACACACAATAAAAAGCTCTTTATGGAAAACGTTAGATTAGAGGGGGGAAACATGCAGGAAATAATTTAACGTCTATTTTCAAGTTCAGGCTACTGATATCAAGTGGCCTGAATCTAGTTAGTTAGTTAACTTTATTAAGGAGACTTTCAGCCGAACGCTGGTTCGTCTCCGGCTGGCCTGAATCTGTGTTGAGCTAAAACTGATCATGCGATATATCAGACATATATGAATTAAATAAGAAGGTTGATCATATTGAGTCCTCAATAAAACATTGTACATAAGGTGTCTATAGACTGACTTCTCCCAAAATACTTATTTCTACATATCAAATATCTTTATGAAGACGTATTCAGGGGCTTCTGTCAGAATTTAAATTTGTAAGGTGGGCCTGATAGTTGGGTTGATTCAGGTTTTATCTATATGTGACAGTTTCTATAATTGCCTGCCGTGCTCATGCTTTAATAACATTTGCTTATGCGTGAGGACCATACTGCTGCTCCTGGAAGTAACTTCGCTATATGAAATTACGCGACACGCCTAAACGTGCCTGCTCATCTGTGATGAAACATTATTTTATTATTATTAAATTCATTAGCCTGCTCTTGATCTTTGTATACACTATGCGAGAAGATAAATTGCAAGATAAAGAACTCCCGGTACGGTGAAAGATAGACGGTAATAGCATAATATGTTGAAGCAGTAGCTGTAAAGAGAATTTTACACGGCCAATGAGATCAACCCAAATTTGAGTTTAGTTTACTCATAAATTGCAAAAAAGTGCCAAAACTCAGCGATGAGTGTATTTGCCTCATGTTTTTCCAGCTTTTTCCTGAAAAAATCCCGAATTTGAGAAAAGTAAAGATTCTCTCAGTCTATTGGTACTACTCTTAGACTGGGTAAAATTTTGTAAATTTTCCTAATTTTCCGGCATATTTTTGAGGTTTTCCACAGGAAAACATGAGGAAAAATTACCCATCGCTGAGTTACTGCACTTTTTGCGATTATGAGTAAACAGAACTAAAACTTGGGTTGACGTCATTGGCCGTGTACAATCACACAATGTACATCAGACATTTGGGTCACCAAGGTTCTTGGAAAGTTACTTTTAGCAAAGATCCCTTACCCAATTCCATGTCCCTCCATCTCCCCAAAGGTGGTTTTATTAACGCTTTTCCTCTTCTACCATATCCACTTTAATTTACAGTATCAGTGATTTTCCCGGCGACTACAAGGAGGGTGGCGACAGCTTTGATAACATTGGGATGAATCTACCGCACGGTTCAGGTAAGCGTTTAAATATCATCCTATTTTAAACTATACATGTCCCCAGGTCAACGGCTGCTCTTAGGTCTGCCTGTCTGTGCTCAACATTGGTTGAAGTAGAACGAAAATTGACCTCATGTCGTGGTATCCTACCTTCTTCTGTACCGCCCACGACTCCCCTTTTACAGAAGGCAATTCCCCATTTTGGAAAGAGCATATCTAGCTTTGTGTTTCACTTCTGTGCGTTCGTTGGTAAGGGAAGACAATTCAAAATGTACCCTGGAATAAAATGCCCGATGCAGTTTTTATAGTTTTTCCGTTGCTAATTCGTGAATTTAATAAGCAACATTGTAAGATGAGTACTTAAACTAGCATTTTTACACACACAATAATCAAAGGATTATAAATGGAAAAGCTATGAAAACAACATCGGGAATTTTACTCTAATGAACCTTTTGACCTATTGTACCCAACGGGTAAGTCCCTTGCTAACCAACTCTTCTCGTGTTGCGGAAAGGAGCGTTCTTAGTCTGCGTGATAATTTATAATTAAAATTTGATTTATTTCGTGCTTTTTTGTGCCATCTCGCACACTCCCCCTTTTGTTTTGGACCGGACTGCAGTCGATAACGATAATGTCATACCGAAGCAATTATCACCGGAGGTGCTCTCTGCAATACAGGCCGTAAGATTTATTGCCCAGCACATCAAGGATGCCGATAAGGATAATGAGGTGAGTGTGGCTGTTGTTATAATGTATCTTTCGCAACGGTGAGTTGGTGGTGCCGTCCATGATAAACAGTCGTGTTGTAGTATTTCTGCTCGTGTCCTGTTTGGAACATCAGAATGCGTTGTCAGTGGGAAGTGGGAGAAGAACAAAGGAAGGAATGTTAACAATGGAACAGTCTCTCATAAAAAAACAATGGCATTAATTTACTAGGACCAGGACTGGTAAATGTCATTTTCAATAAAAGATCTCGCGTGATATTTACAGAGATACTTCTGTCACTATCATCAGATGATAAAACAATCATATAGATTTTCTTAAAAAATCTCATCGACGTTTTTGTCATGACAGAACGTAACAGTGTTGGGATCATTGCAATTACTAGCTCATTTATTGATATTACTGTTATATGCGCCACGCCAAGCTTAAGCATATATTCACACAACAGATTACATACGGTTGCTTGCCATAACATCTCTGATCACGCCTGATGGGAAGAAAAGCCGTTGGTCCTGGTCCATGAGTTGATGAGGTTGGTCGATAGGTAAGGTCCAGGTGTGGGAGCTGCCTCCCTGGCGTCGGTAGCATTGGTGCTCAGCACGGAAAACAAGATCGACGGAAAACAAATCATTAAAAAAAATACTAGGCAAAAAAGTTCTTGATGCCATCCATTGACGGCAATCGAATGTGCAGGAAGGCAGTTTTCACACCTGCGTCGGACTAACGGCTTTACTTCCCGAAGGAAGACGTGACCAGAGATTTGTATGCCTCAGAAAAATCCCACCGACCTCGGCTGGGATTGAACCCAGACCCATTGGGGTGATAAAGCAGTCACGCTTACCACTACACTACCGGCGCTGGTGATTAAAAATTCGTTGTTTGACTTCATAATTGTTCATGCCAAATTGACGTGTCGCAAAATTCTGTTAAACGTCCATTAGTCCAAACATCTATTCGACTAAACGTTTTTAAGCCAAACGCCCGTATGCTAAACAATCGTATGACAATTGTCCATGAGATAGGTACTTGCGTAAGCCGAAGCTACGCATCATGCACGTTCTCCAGGTTGTCGACTCACAATTTTCTTAATAGCTCAAGTATACGTATACTCCTCTACACCACCAGATTTTACTAACACAACTCTGGGTTGGATTAAGGGTATGCTATTCTTTGATATATCGAGCTATTCTGTTTATTTCGCTTCGAAACCGAATTCCGCGGAATATTCTGTTTCATCTGTTTTAAAGTTCCGTTTAGTTTTGTTTTGCTTAGAGCAGACAATTGAAGTTAGTTGTTGAAGTATTTCCATGTTTTCAAAATTTGACGGAATTCCACGGAATTTCGTTTATTTACAACAGTTTCCAATAGGTTTTCATAGATTTCAAAATAACCGAAAATACCAAAAAAAAAAAAAACCGTTGCAAATTGATATTACTATGAGTTCTGTTAAATTGACGTTTTCGTTAGTATCCGCACGTTTTCGTTTAACGCACAGAACGTGAATAAAATCGCTAGTGGGTTATTTCGGTTTCCAACTGTAGCGACAATACTAGGCTTTATGCAGAAGACACAACACATCACAGACACCCCTTGTTTGCTACCCCTCGATTTCTTCTTCTTCTTCGTCTTCTCCTTTATTTAACGTCGGTATCTGTTCCGCAATCTAGTGCCAATCACCGACGGACATCGATTGCCATCCATTGACGGCAATCGAATGTGCAGAAAGGCAGCTTCCACACCTGCGTAGGATATCGCACCCATTCAAACACACATGGGCTGGGACCAACAACTTTGCTTCCCTTCCGAAGGAAGACGTGTCCAGAGATTTTTATGCCTCAGAAAAATCTCACCGACCTCGGCTGGGATTGAACCCAGACCCATTGGGGTGATAAAGCAGTCACGCTTACCACTAAACCACCGGCGCTGGCTCCCCTCGATTTCAAGTTGGTAAACAAAACAAATCAGTGCATTGGCAGATGCGAAGTTTTGTAGCTACACTGCAAGTTTACCCGTAAAACCTAAGAGGAAGAGGAGACTGGCTTCTTTTTTTCTATGACGTGTTCTTATTCTCGCGCGGAAACGACCGTGCAAAAACAATTTCATTATGGGCGACGCAGTCGACTGCCAAAATACAAGAAAATAGACACCCTGTTGTGAAAATTCTCGCGTTTCTATACGTTCACCCGACGAATCAGACGCTGGTTCGCGTTTGACAGAAAATTAGTTCATAAAAGCCCCCCTATTGTCTCCTCTTCCTCTTAGAATAAAACGAAGCATATTTCGCTTCCCGACAGATCGTTTCCTGCGCCGCACGTGACTGATATTTTGCGAAATAGATCCGGAAAAGGCAATTCCCGTTAGTACCAGGCCGCATATTTTGAATCGGTTCATATGGCAGTGAAAGTGTACCGGATATTCCAATCGATTTGCCTGAATGCCATGATATTATCGGTACAGTTGAAATCCGGAAAACACCACACGCGACAATAGATTTTGCTCTTGTACTGTACGTTAAACAATGATGCGCTATAATGCGCACCATGTGCGACGTTATGTTTCACGTACAGAACGAAAGTAAAATCGAATGTCGCGTATGAGGTATTCCGGTGTCCAACTTGACCGAAAATATTGAATCTAAGCTGATGAATTCATTAATTTCATATTGTATGAACAATATGCGTTTCAATAGCAAATCCATGATGGTGTAAGATTTTCCCAGTTGATATTTTTGCTTCTTTTGCTTGGATAATTGATAAGAACGAAATAGTAAAAAACCTAGACAATACGTATTTGTCTTATAACCATGATTTGATTTAATGAGATTTTTACCGTTCAGCCCCAGGTGGTTTACAATAAATGTGTTAAAGACACGTAAAAGCGTTTCCTTTCATTGCAAACACAAAAAAAAAACGTTTGTCAAATTCATCGAAAAAAAAACGTTTTTAAAAACACCGGATATAAGTACCGTAATGCGGGGGAAAATTGATCACCGGCAAATTGATAATTATGGCTCATATTTTTGATTGTCAAGTATTAAATTTTCAGTGATAGATATTAAGAGAAATCTTCATAGCATTCTATAATGAGACTCTAATGATTTCCTTGTTGAGTTTTACCTAACAAAATAGTATTTTTTTACTGCATAAATTTCAATTTTATCTAGCTGACGTTCAACAGCATACAATATCATCATTCAAACAAATGTTCATAGGGCTGCAGCGATTGTTTTCATTAGCAAAACTCATTGTCAATGTATCCGAATAATATAATAAATAATGTTTTTTAATCGTATTTCGATTTTGGCGAGATATTTTTAAAAGTTTTGTTACACTAACTAAGGATGTGTACCGGAACTAATATTTGCAACGTTAACATTTCAAAAATATTAATGGAAAATAGTCTAATATGATCGAATGCGTCAAGTTAGGAACCGCGTCAAATATGGTGCCTTCACGGTATACTTCGCACAAGGATTTAAGCTTCAGATCTGGATTTAAAGAAACCAATTTTAATAAGAACAGTTCCTAGAAATGCGCTCGGATACCATTTGAGGGGTTGATCAGCAACATTTCAGAGATTTAATTTTTTTTCTAAATAATTAAAACATTCTATATGATAAGTAAACATGCAGAACGCTAGCTAATGATTTTAATACCATATGTTTTTTTTTTCAATTTTGTTATTTGTAGAGATTTATTCAAACGTTAATGAGTGATGAATTTGCCCCCGGATTACGGTATATCATAGTCATTTGTTTTCTCTGCAAAAATGTTCAAAGAGCTGTAACTTTTTCGGATGTCCATGAAATTTTCTGAAATCTCTGCTGCTGGTTGGTAAAGTATTCAAAACTTATTGGTAATATTTCGAGCTTGATTTGCTGAATCTGTATGAAGTTTGAGCATTTTTTAGTTGAACGCTTCTTTTTGGAGTAGCCTTTTAAAAAAATCCTGAAGTACAATGAACCGAATATATTTAAATTTTGTTCATAGTCGATAGATGTTTTAACGTCACGTGACGACGTAGGTGAGTAAACATAAATAGAACTGTATACGAGCAAGTCGGGCGACCATTTTATTTGCGAGTCTTGGTAGTGGAGTCCCCACGCTACCACTCTAAGCGGTATCAAATAGATATTTTAGCAAAATAAATTGTCGTCCGATTCATTCCATTATCAAAGTTGCCCTTTGCTCATTTTCAACTTTTTAATACATCAATTTTCACACTGCCGTACTCTAACGGAACTATCAATTCTATACTTTCATCTCCTCATATGAAATATACACCATAAGTCTGATATTCTTTAAGCATCTACAACTTTGTAATCTTCAACTTCACACATGAAGTAATAAAAAGTCTGATTAGTAAAATAACATAGTAATATGCCATAATCTCCATACAAACTTTAAACCATTTGCACAACCTTTAACCTTTATCAATATTTTCACAGGCTCATATTTTGGGGTTATGAATCAAACTGGAGGGTGGCCTATTAGACTGCAAATAGGTTTTTTAAATTAAGCTTCCTAATGCGCACTAGCTCCATGTAGTGACGAAATTTTCCACTTATTTGCTCAGCATCCTCAATCATCACAACAAGTTTGCGGAAGACAGCAAAATTCGTCTGTCAGCATGAAACTGCTTACCATAATCCTATTCCTAATCAAAAGCAAATGTATAAAAGTGGTTATATACTCTGGCCAGCAAAATTAAAAATCAAATCGAGAATAAGTATATAACCTTACATTTTAGGCAGGCGGCCAAAAAACTTAAATTATTATAAGTTTTGTTTTGTGCTGAACGGATTTTAGTAAAACTTGGCGCATATGAATTAATTGTGTCTTAACTACCAATTAGAAAATTTACAGTATTTTAAGTAGGATTTTCAATCATTAGTTACAGCTCTTCGAAGTTTTTCACTGGTAAAAATCGCAATGTTTTATACTTATGTCCGGTACTGTAGATTTGAATATATTGTATAGGTTTTGAAGGGCATGTAAAATTTATGT